CTTTAGTAAGTGTTTGGGGTTTTGTGTGTTTCGACTTTGTAAACTGATTTGCAATGACTTTTGAGAAATCTCCGAGTGAAAAGCTGTGAGTTGCGTAGAGGTCATATCAACGAAAAAATAGCCTTTCAAGATGAAAATGTTTGAGACCCTTATAAGGCTTTTGTTTGATAATAATTCCCGTAATTCTAAGTCTGCTTAGTGCAGACATTTCAAAGGCACATATTCTTGCCCTTAGGCATTTATTGAACCTCACTGACAAAGAGAAACGAGGCCTTTGATTAGACTGTTAATGTAATGTGTCCGTTGCTTTTTCGGGACGGGGAGGGGGAAGTAGTGAGGTGGAAACGTTCCTTTTTAATAGTGATATAAACTGCCATCCTTTCAAGTGGTTGCACTAAAACATTTTTTTCTTAAAATTGATTAAAAGAAATTGTTTTCAAGGAACTTGGGAATTAAATTTTCATGTGAAGCTTTGAATTCTGTTTGGTTAGATTTCTCTGGCTTTATTTGCCTATCCTCCAGAAAGACCAAACAAAATTAAATTACACAGTCGGATTTAAGAATATTTTGGGAAAGATATATTTAGCACAGTCATACAGAACTTTAAATATTCCTGTGACTTTTCTCTTTATGTTGTCTTAGAGAATACCTTTGCTCTTACTCTGTCCTGCACAGTGCAACTCATATTAGTCATACTTTATTTTAATGGAAACTTTGCTTACAGTTGATACGTGATATTTTGTGAGTAGTAACCAGTGTAACTGCTTATGTTGTTGACTGCTGTTACAAAGTAAGTGTTCACAAAACTTACCAAAATGTGTTTTTTAGCTTCTGAAACTGAGTTAATTTCTGGTGGATCTGATAAACAACTCATTCTTTGGGAATGGAATGGAACAGGAACGTGGAATAATCAGGTAAGCAGGAATAACCTCTTTTTAAAACTCTCCCTGCCCTAGTTTGTCACATACCATAAATTATCTGTTTTGTTTGTATTTCTAACTTGTATCTCTTCATTTTATCTCGACTGTTGAACCTCGTGTGTATCTCCTTCAAAATGTTGGTATTCTAGCAAGCTATGTTTTACTTTGAATGCTGTTTCTTCTTTTCTGTGGTTTATCTTTTTCAAATCAGCCTTCATTAAGAAATTAGCTAACCAATCATCAAGTGGATTTGTCTAGCATGTCTAAAAGATCCTGTTTGTCTGTTCTTGAGTCATCAGCTTTCTGATCTCATGTAGCACTTTCCCTTAAACTGCCTTAAAATCTTCAAACGATGAGGTTCATTTTGAGTTGACATTTCCTGTACCGTACCTTTCTTTCTCATTTCTTTATGTCCATTTCTAGTGATTTATGATCAATCTGTGTAACAGCATACTGTTTGTGTATAGGTACTCTTACTAGGATGGTATACAAATTGGGGTAGGTGCTTGAAAAAAAAATAAATAAATTGTGCAACGATTGAGTTTTGTCAGAGAAATTGAGAAAAGTAAGGAGACATGCTAATTTCTTATTCATATTGTAAAATGTAAGGCAAAGGATGGAGCATGGTGTAAAAGAGCCTTCAGAATGAACTGAAATTTAGGTGAAAAGAATACTTTCATTTATTATGTAACTTCTAAAATCTTTCTTATTAGGCATTTGTTTGTGAATGGTAGGTAATGCATTTCATAGGCTATCGCAAACTAGATTAGACTTGGCATTTTAAATGCACGAGAATGCATACTAGGGGGAAATGCACCTAGTTTGATGGGGGAACGTTCCCAGAGGTGAGTAATTTCTCATCCTGATCCATTGTAACTGTTTACATATTTATTAAAAATAACTTACAGATTTTTTTTTATTAACCTTTCCCACTGATGTGGTGCACAGCCTTATGGTAGTCTTTGTAAAAGAATGTGGCTAAGTGTGTACATTTTAATGACAGTTCTAGACTAGTGTAAATTCTTAAAAACAGGCAAAGTTCTGTATTGGACCAATCAGAAATTCTTACTGGGGCTTACCAGGCTATATTTTGGAAAGAGATGTCACTTGCATTTATGACAAAATTTTGGGTAAATGCTGACAACTTCTGGTCACAGAATTAAAAGCTTCTCATTTTACTCTTTGTGTTTATGAGGAACAGATTACAATTTGAATCACCTGTATTCATTCATTTAGAAAAGTAGGTACTTAAGTCTAAATTTAGAGTTTTTGATTTTCATGTCGGTATTTTGAAGGAGTAAAAAACTGTTTTGATTGGCAAGAACACACTAAACATTGCTGCTAGAGCTGCTGTAGCTACTTATTCCGTTGTGTTCTCTGCTCTGTCTCCTTCACTAAGGTTCTCCAAACTTTCCTGAATTGTTCCTTAGGATGAGGGGCAAGAGAAGGAGAAAAAGGAAGGCAAACTGTTCTTTCTAACTTCTATAGGTTTCCAGCTTTCTTCAAGGAATGGTGAGGTTTGTATAGTGTACACAGGAATATCCAATTCTGTTCAGCTTTGGACAAAATCTTATTGAATTAATAGTGCTTACTGCTGTATCCCTTCTCGGTGTTTTCCTGGAATACACTATAGCTTAAGCATAGCTTCGCAGATATTCTGCCATCACAGGTATACAGCTTGTTTTAAGTATTATTTTATTTCTTAAAATGGCTTTAAAAAATCTCTCAGATAAGTTACTGGAATTTAAAACTTTGTAAAACTTTCTGATGTGTTCAGCTTGTGAAAAGCATTCCTCTCAAAGGCCATGCTGAAGCTGTTTGTGCTGTGGATGCTGTCTGCCAGTCAAATGAACCTGATTTAAATCTGCTGATAGCTTCTGCAGCTTCTGACTCCACTGTGAGAATCTGGTCTCGGCGTGGTTCAGAAGGTAACTTGTTTTTAAACATTAGAGGCAATGTGCTGGCTTAATAAAAATGATGAGTGCTTTATCCATTGAAGTACTAGGCTAAATACTAATATCTTTTAATGTAACTTCATTGATTTCTCTTTAAACTTTGGTACATCAAACCACTGTATTGCTCTTTGAAAGATGAGGCTTATGCTAGTTTAACAGCTTTGGGTCAGCTTTGTTCTGCAGAATGATTTGTTTTTCATCAGTGTTGGCTGAATTTACTGTTTCTTTTTAATGTGTATTCAGAATCTGATAATCTCTGAACCATCATTTTGCCCTGTAACATAGGGCAGACTAGCTGTATGTGTGTGTGAAGTAAAATTGCATAGTGAAATGATTAATGCTGACATTAAAAAGGTGAGGTTAAACTAGTCACTTGTTTCTTACTATTGACTTGAGTCCGCTGAAGTTTGGGATAATAGGATCTTGACCTTCTGGTGAACTAGGCCCTTGCATGGACACATCGGAGAACAGCTCTTTCAAATGCATAAGAAATAAATAGGGTGGATAATCCAGATTTAAAGTGTTATTTGCTAGATGAGTTGTACTGACTGCATCTCTGGAGCTGCTTTCTTCCTTATCTGGTGTACTTGGGGATTTCACATTGCCATGGGAGAAACAGATGGGAGTTGCCAATCTTCAGTCCATCTGCTCCTAAAGAACACCATGAAGTCCTGTCCTTTTCTTTTTGTCTTGCTGTTGTGCGTTCCAGTGATGGAAGGACCAATTCTGCTTCTGTAGAGAGGTTTTTCCGCTATCCTGTTGGTTACTCAGTTCTTGATGGCTTACCAGTTTAACCGCTTCTAGTATCTCAGGGGTGTTGGCAGGTTTTTGCTCATCTCTCTATCTGCTCTTGTGGCAAATGGATTCAGTTTTAGCTTCCTGTGTAG